CCAGGCAGGCGCTTTGCCACTGAGCTAAATCCCCAGCCCCGGGATTGATAAGATTAGTAAAACATCAAGATATGAGTATGTAACTAAAACACTGGTAATTTTAATTAATGGATATTAGAAAATTTAAAAATTAAATCCTTAAAATAACATTTATCCCTATACTTGTGAAAAGATATGTGATAGAGCAGTAACACAGTTCGGTGTATAATTTACTGTCATTTGATTTTAAATTCAATAGTATTACTTATATATTAAATTACTTTAGTGACTTCAACTTTTAGTTTGAACACTAAAGCTTTTGCCAGAGGTCTGTAACTTCTAAGCAAGGATCAAATACAGTACAATTGTAAATTAAGTTATTTAGTTCAAAAGTTCATAACACCAACTTTCTGAATTTTAAAGTATGTGAAATTCCAGAGGTCCCGTCATATAATCATCAGACCGTGTCACTTTTACTGCATGTAAAATAACTGTCTCTAATTTTTTGAGCAATCTAATAAACATGCCTATCATTTTACAAATAAAATCTACATTTTTAAAATTATTTCAGAGTAGATGTCCTGTAAAACTTCAAAAAAAGCTTATAGTTTCTCTTCTAAGGTTTGAAATTTTAAAAACAAAATTGGTTTATTGCATTATGAAATTTTCAGTAAATAACACCAAATTTGACATGATAAGAAATGTATGAATATCAAAATTTATTTTGAGTCATCCGTCATTCTTTAAAATAAGGTTTATCTTATATTTTGGCTGATTACATGACATAGCCTTGACTTCCTAAGAAGTTAGACTGTAAAACTAAAGAATTTCATCACATTTCAATGTCTATAGTTGGAATTTGTGTGCGTTTAGTCATTCTTATCATTTCCTCTCCACTTAGCAAGTTATGTAAAGTACTACCGTAGTACTTTTTTGTTATTTGTCAAAATAGTGCTTTTGTTTTATATCTTACTGAAAATATTAATTACTATCTTCATGTTTACTAATTTGAATTACATGTACTTCTGATTATTATAGGTCAAGAAAGTATTTACTTGATTTTATAAAAGTTATTCTCAGAGTAATACGTTGTGAAAGTTATGTCCCTGTCACCTTGGTAAAATTTTCTTTCTAGATAAAAAATGATATTTAGTTTCTTTTAAGTGTACGTGATAGTCTAAAATCATGTTAACTACATTTCAGTGGCTTTGAACTTTTTTCAGATCTTCAGCTTGCTTTCTTTGACATTAAATCCTTTGGAAGGAAAGCCTCAGCAGCTAACTAAAGAAGAGACTCTTTGTAAACTATTGACAGCAGATTCTGATAAAGAAAAAGATCACGTATTTGGGTAACAGAACATAATTTGGTTCAACAGAATTCCTATAAATAAGTTCTTTTAAATGCATGTAGTAAATGTAAATGTGGTAACCTATTTAAGAGATAAGATATTTTAAACTTTTACAAGCATTTTTAAATCACTAATGTCTGGATTTTAGGTACTTTGTTGTCCAAAATTTTAGAAAATTTTTATTTATATGTACTAACACTAATCATAATAACTTTAACCTTAAATGTAAACTTTTAGTTAAATCAGTAAAATTTATTTTTAAAAGATTCAGACCTGGGCAAGGTGGCTCATGCTTATAATCCTAGCACTCTGGGAGGCTGAGGCAAGGGGATCATAAGTTCAAACCCAGTGTAAGCATTTGGCAAATTAGTGAGACCCTGTCTCAAAAAAATAAAAATAAAAAAGCCTGGGGATATAGTTCAGCGCAAAAGCCTGCCTTTAGTTCTTTGTACTAAAAAAAAAAGGTTAAATTTATGTTAGGGTTTAAACTGTCTTACATCTTGCCTTGTAATTATTTTAGCACTTTTTTATTTTATAAGCTAAAATTAATTTTTCCCCTAAACCCTGTACATAGCAGCAAATTATTCTATAGATGGCACACTTAAAATTATTTTTACTTACTGCAATTAAAGAGATTTTTATGCACAGAGATTTCACAAGGAGTACATATTGATGAATATTTTGATTGCTAAGAAAGACAAACTGTGTTTTACCACCACAATTTTTTTTCATATCTTTGCTAAAGAAAACTTGCTTTGGGCTAGGTTTATAGCTCAGGCTAGAGTGCTTGCTTAGCCCTGGTTCATCCATAGCATACCAGAAAAAAAAAAAAACAAGCTTATTCTTCGATACAGTGTTAGATCTGTTGTGTAAATCAATGAGTATATTCTACATAGGTTCATTCTTACTCATTCCTGTTCTCTCCCTAAAGTATAAATATGTACTATGTCTACATTTATAGTCTATTCTGAAATTGACATTGCTATAAATATGTGTAGTTCATGTACAGCCTTTGGAGATCTAGAAATATTTTTACATGGCCTTGGACTGGAACATATGGCAGACTTATTAAAGGTAAGATTGCATATAAACTATGATGATAGATATATATATATAAATGTATATATATGCACATATATTTGTTGGTTAACATAACATTAAATGTAAATTTATAAAGCATGCCTATGAATAAGTGCCATTCCTTTTCTCCATAATTTGGAGTATATTTTGTTTTAAACTTGAATGATCATTGCAAAATTGTTTTCTAGACCTTAACATAAATTCGAATCTGGCCAGATTTAACAGTTCTTAATCTACTGCCCATTGCCTTCGTATACAGTGCAGCCCTTTATTTTTGCTTTGCTGTTCCGGTTGCAAATCCTCCTCCTTTTCATTCCTTCTCTTGAGACAAGGTCTCCCAGTGTAGTCAGGCTGACCTTGACTTCATTGTATAATTTAGGCTGGCGTGGAACTCGCTTCAACCTCCAGAGTGCTGGGATTACAGGACTGTGCCACAACACCCAGCTGCAGTTGCAAATCTCGTATAAAATGCAAGAAGCTTGATTTCAAACTAAATGTGGTATCAGATTCTCCCTTAGATTACTAACTGAAACATGTTACTTAAATATATTTTTTCATAAAGATAATAATAGCTAGTTGTAGGGTTGTGATATTAAATTAGATTTTGTACCAAGCATTGCCTAGGTGCTATAAGTATATGTAGTGTGATTATAAAATACAGTGAAATTTTAAAATAAAATAAATTTTAAAAATTTTTTACAGTAAAAGTCATTGTCATAATCCCTCTCAAAATACTCTTCCTTACTTTGAACACACTTACTGTATTCTTGCCACATTCTGAAGCAATTTACAATCCACGTTTATACCAATTTCTGTGAAATTAAGACGTTATGGTATGTCCTCATCTACCTTACTCAGCAGGTGAGGGGCCGTGGGCTTCTCATTCTTGCCCAAAGTCAAAGCGAACGTGGATGAACGTTTTCAGTTTAGGGCGTCACGGCAGCCACAACAGTGCAGCTAAAGACGCTAACAACAGAGGCCTTCCAGACCTGCTTCAGAAAGTGGCGAGAGTGATGGAGCGTTTGAAGGGAGGTAGAGTATTCTAAGGAAGAAAATGGCAATATGTAATAAATACTTACTGTGTAAGTGGCTTTTAAATTTAAATATTCATGTATGTTTTAATCAAACCACATATATTGTAGGATTTAGATGATACTAATTATCAGCTAGATGAAGATTCTGACAGTTCTAGTGGGAGTGTGCACATTCTGTTCAGATGTTTCAGAGCCAGATTTCACTGTAGAGCCTTGAGACTTTTTCCTTTATGGAGAAATCTTGATGGGTTAATCTCATATAGTCAGAAAATTAATATTGGTGTATATATATAATTTCTGTCAATTCTTATACTTTTCTTTTTACTTAAACAAATATGAATATGATTGCTTTCTTCAAATCTGGAAAACTAGTTTGCTTTTTACTTTCAGGGGAATATGTACTGTCTACCCACTAAAGTAGTACTATATCTGTGTACTATATTCTGTCCCCTCTAGAAGGTTGGAATGTGTTAAAGAGTGGAACACATAACTAAGTTATGTATACTTACCTACTTCCCCTCATACTACTTATTTTGAAAGATGGTGAGTTTTTTTCTTTTTCCACAGGAAAAGGACATAACTTTAAGACACCTTTTGACCATGAAAAAAGATGAGTTTACAGAGGTTAGTATCACTTTCAAAAACTCAATATACATCCTTCGATATTTTTAAATTGTAGATCCTTTATTTTCTATTGTAAAAATCCTAGTGTTATAGAGTGTGACTGAATCTATGTAGATGTGTATAAATATGTGTTTTCCAAATAATATGCCTTTTGGTGGGTTCTCAAGATTGTAAAGATCTATTATTTTGGCACCTAGTATATTAAATAATAATCAAAAAGTAGCTGTAGGAAGTACAAGAGATACTTCAACAAATAAGGTATCTAAAGAGCAATGATCTTGCTTTATGAACATATTGGAAATTTTAAATCTTTGCCATTACTAAAATTTAAAATAAGTATATTACTTAACTAAATCTATGTTACAAAATTCAGTTTAACAGCAAAGTAGAATAGAAACCAAAGGGGAGGTGGGGTATTGTCTATTATCACGGATAAGATTTTAAATATTTTGAAGGAAGCAGTTACTGTTTTTCTGAGCTATTATGTATGATTTGATTATAGTCCATCACAATTGCTTATTGTAAAAAGTATTGATTACAGTTGACTGTATGCCAGATATCTTAATGATGTAAATTCGTCAATCATAGTTATAAACAAACCATATATTTTAAGTAATTTGCTATTTTCCAAAATGTGTCTATTTTTCAAGATGCAAATTCAAGTAGAAAACATTAATAAAATTAAATTATTCAATATAAGTATCTTACTACACCTTAAAATTGTCTCTACATAGAATGGAATTACCAGTAAAGATCAGCAAAAAATTATTGCTGCTCTTAAAGAACTAGAGATAGGAGAGATAAATTTTGGAGAGTTACCTGAAGTGGCAAAGTTGGAAATCAGGTAAAGTTAATTTATCAGTTTACATAAACATTGTTTGAAACCAACTAAGTTGTGAAAATGTGTGATTTATTTGTTTTGATACTATCATTTTCCTAAAGAAACAGATTTCAGCATAATATACTGTGTTCAAAATGGGATGCACTTCATTTTAGAAAGTGGGTTTTTAAAAAGTTACTTTACCAAGAAGTAATGCAGTGTCTTTGTAACTCACACAGAAACATTTTGTGCTTTATTTTTTTAATCACATGTTGCTGTATTAGACTCTATAAAAATCTCACGCTTTTCCTAGTATAGTTATTACTCTCTTTAAATCGCTTTAGATGTGATTGAAATTGAAAATTTGGGGCCAGGGATATAGCTCAGTGGCACAGTGCCTGCCTGGCAAGTACGAGGTCCTGAGTTCAATTGCAGGTACCAAAAAAGAAAAAGAAAGAAAAATTTGAAGTAATGAAAACACTTAAGTTTTCCTAGGTGATAAATTGTGTTACTGATACATAAACTTCATGTCCAATATCATAAATTTGTAAATTCACTGATTACTAATAATCTAAAATCTATTTTGAAAATAATGATGTTTGATTTTGTTAACATAGAGCAGTCTTTTTAGCCTTTTATTTTGAAATAATTGTAGATGCATGTGATAGTTTAGAGACATATGCCATGAGGTCCCATACACCCTTCACCGAGTTTCACCCAGTGTTAATATCTCACATAATTATAGTATAATATCAAAAACAGTAAATAGATTTTGCTACAATCCACAGAGTTTATTCATATTTCACCAGTATTAGTTGCTTGTCCCTTATATGAATGGGTCAGGACCAGAAGTGTTTCATATTTTGGAGTTTTTGGATTTCAGAATATTTGCAAAGACTTTACCTAATGAGCATCCTTAATCTGAAAATCAGAAATACAGAATGCTGTAGTATTTGATTCAAATTTCAGATTTTTCTGCTAGGGATGCATAATCTATACCATATTGTCTTGATTACTCTGATTATATAGTAAAATTTAACATCAAGAAAAATGATTCTTCTTTTATTCTTTCTTAAAATTGTCTTATGTATTGTAGAATCTTTTTATGTGCATTTTATATCGTTTTTCTGTCTACAGAAAATCTGAGGTTTTTTTTTTTTTTTGGTTTTTTTGGTTTTTCTCCGGTACCGGGAACCGAACTCACGACCTTGCGCTTGCCAGGCAGGCGCTTTGCCGCTGAGCTAAATCCCCAGCCCCAAAATCTGAGGTTTTGATAAGAATTGTAGTAATCATTGATTAATTTATGGAGAATTGACATCTTGATTGTTAAATCTGTTAATCCGAGATCACAGGTATCTCTACAAGGTTGTAGTTTTCTTTCATCAGTATTTTGTAATTTTTGTTACAAAACGTCTCTCTGTGTTTTTTTAGATCTATACCTAAGTAATTATCTTTGGAGCAATTGTCTGTGATATTAGCTTCTTTATTTCCATGTATAGTTGATTTGGGTGCTTTTATTACATAAATTCTGTACATATTTTGTAAAATTTATACCTAAGTAATTATTTTTGGAGCAGTTGTCAGTGACACTTACTTTTGTTTCTATGCATAGTTGACTTTTCTGCTTTAATCAGATATCCTTCAACCTTACTGACCTCACTGAACTCACCTCAACCTTCCTGAACTTACTTAGTTCTAGGAGTTTTTTCTAGGTTCTTTAACATTTTTTATGTAATCATGTACTCTGCAGAAAGGTTAATTTCTTTCTAATCTGTTATGCTTTGTCTGTATTTTTCTTGTCTTATTGCAGTGGATAGAACTTCAAGGATTGTGTTGAGTAAGAGTGGTAAATAGTGAACATTTTTAATTTGTTCCCAACCTTAGAAGAAAAACGCTCAGTGTTTCTAGTATTGATAATGTTGTTAGCTCTAGAGCTTTTTGGAGTCTCTGTGAGACTGAGAAAGTTAAGCTGTGTTTCTTGAACTGTTTATTATGAATGGTTGTTGAATCCTCTCAGATTTTCTTGTTATCAGTTGACATGATCATATTTTTTTCCTGTAGCCTGTAAATGTGGTGGGCTACATTTGGGAATTTTAACTATTGAACCAGCTTTGTATACCTGGTATTAACCCTGTGTAGTTACACTTTATTATTTTTTGGAAGCATCGTTAGGTTTCATTTGTCAATATTTTGCATCTAAATGCTTGATACTACTTTGTAGAATTATGTTTTGTGCTTTTTCCATTTTTGGTATCAGGTTAATACTGGCCTTAAAAGAATGAGTTGACAATGTTCCCTTCTGTTCTGATTATGTACCATGAGGGACAGAGGATGTAGAATTAGAGCTAATTAGTACAGTATTATATAGCATTATTGTCAGTTTTTCTTTGGACACTTTAATTAGATTTCTTGAAACTCTCTGGGCCTGGAGATATGGGGAGGGAGATTTTAAATCATAAATTAATTACTTTTATGGTTATAAGACTACAAGTTGTACCTATTTCATCTTGATGGAGTTTTAGTAATTTGTGGTTTTAAGGGATTTTTTCATTTCTTCTAAATGTTCACATTTACAAGCATAAAGCATAAAGTTGGTGTTCCCAGGTACCATTTTAGTGGCTTGGGATCTGTTGTCAAAGCCCAGTTCTTGTTAGAGGCATATTATTTTTTCAAAGAACCTAATTTTTGTTTCAGCAAAAAAATCTCAAAAATACTTTGGTACTTCCTCAGAGTCCTCTAAACCTACTTTGAATACAACCTACTATTATTTTCTAGTTTTTCTTCTGAAAATTAAGAGTATTGTAACAATTTTAATTTTTAGGCAATCCAGGTAGTACATTTTTTATTTCAACATATTCCAGTTTTATACCCCCAAAATGATATTATAAATGAAGATTATGTATCAGTACCATACATATTGGTGGAGGGTTATTTTCTACATATAGCTTTTTAAAACACATTGGGGATTATAACCATGACTTACACTAGAGAGTTCCCTTACCTGGCAATGTTACAAAATAAACTGAGTAACTTGATGTATATATTAACCACATTCACCATTCCCTGAGATCTAACTGTGTAGACAAATTTGAATAAATGGATAAATTGAGTCAAGGAATGGTAATACCCTGTAAAATATAATACTTATAAATGTAATAATGTAATCGTTAGTGTAGCCTATCTAAAGCTAACACTGTAACGATAATGAATAAGCAGATTTCCATACCATTTTAGAATTCAGAGAAGTCTTTCATGAAATAATTTAGATGATCTGCAGTTCTTTAAAAAATTATTGCAAAGTTTACATTATAGGCATTCCCTCTTGCCATTCATTTCCTTGTACCAGGAAAGTCTATATTCAAAATAATGCCTTGTCATTTCCTGTCATATATAGAATGACATATATATAATTTCCTGTCATATATATAATTTTCATTCCCTCTTGCATGAATCTGAGTTCTTCTTTCCTTCCTTTTCTTGATAAGGTTGGCTAGGGGTTTATTAATTTTGTTTATTCTTTCAAAGAATCAACTCTTTGATTCATTTATATATGATATATGACAGATAATGATATAATACTGTCATATAACAGTATTATACCTCTTAAATATTTATTGCCTCATGAAGGGTTTTACCTGTGAAAGCAAACTTTGTTAAATATATGTGTTCATTTTTAATCTTCTTTTTTTTTCTTTTAAAAATGAAAGGAGGAAAACATTAACAGACACACAACCTTTTACAAAATAGCAAAAGAACAGGACAGACAATACAGAGTTACAAACAAAGTGGTAGGGAATTAGCAATGCTTTTTGTATTACATAT